TGGGCAAGCATAAGGATCTGACTGACTTTGACAAAATCGTGATGGCTAGACGACTGGGTCAGAGCATCTCCAAAATAACAGGTCTTGTGAGGTGTTCCTGGTATGCAGAGGTTAGTACCTACTGAAAGTGGTCCAAGGAAGGACAACCGACGACAGGTTCATGGGCGCCAAAGGCTCATTGACCTGCCTGGGGAGTGAAGGCTAGCCCGTCTGGTCTGATCCCACAGAACAGCAACAGTAGCACAATTTGCTGAAAAAGTTAATGCTGGCTATGATAGAAAGGTGGCAGAACACACAGTGCATCGCGGCTTACTGTGTATGGGGCTGTGTAGCCACAAACCGGTCAGAGTGCTGACCCCTGACCCCTGCCCACCACCGAAAGTGCCTTCAATGGGTATGTGAGCATCAGAACTGGACCATGGAGCAATGGAAGAAGGTGGCTTGGTCTGATGAATCATGTTTTCTTTTACATTATGTAAAAGATAATATACATTAGCTTACCAGGGGAAGAGTTGGCACCAGGATACACTGTGGGAAGAAAGCAAGCTGGTGGAGGCAATGTTCTGCTGGGAAACCTTGGGTCCTGGCATTCTTGTGGATATTACTTTGACATGTACCACCTACCTAAACATTGTTGCAGACCAAGTACACCCCTTCATGGCAACGGTATTCCCTAATGGCACTGGCCTCTTTTAGAAGGATAATGCGCCTGCCACACTGCAAAAATTGTTCAGGAATGGTTTGAGGAACATGACAAAGAGTTCAGGGTGTTGACTTGGCCTCCAAATTCCCCAGATCTCAAGCCGATCGGGCATCTGTGGGATGTGCTGGACAAACAAGTCCAATCCATGGAGGCCCCACCTATACACTAACCACTGCATACCAGGAACACCCCACAAGACCTGCTGTTTTGAAGATGCTCTGACCCAGTCGTCTAGCCATCACAATTTGGCCTTTGTCAAAGTTGCTCAGATCCTTACGCTTGCCCATTTTTCCTGGTCCCAACACACCAACTTCAAGAACTGACTGTTCACTTGCTGCCTAATATATCCCACCCCTTGACAGGTGCCACTGAAACGAGATAATCAATGTTATTCACTTCACCTGTCAGTGGTTTTAATGTTATGGCATTATATATAATGTATGTATATGTATGTATGTATGTATGTATGTATGTGTGTATGTGTGTGTGTGTGTGTATATATATATATATATATATATATATATATATATATATATATATATATATATATATATATATATATATATATATATATATTAGTTTAAATGTTCTTAAGAGAAATTAGAAATTTAATGCAAGGGACTAATTTAGCACACTTAGGGTGCTTTCACAGATGTAGTGTTCAGTCCATTTGAGTCAAACTCTGGTACATTTTACTCTTTGCTGCGGTTTGTTTAGGCAGCCGAGAAGACAACAATTGTCTGGACCAAAATAATCAGTTCCAGTTGAACTCTAATACAGTTTAGTTGCCGTGAGAAAAGCTATTCAAACATGCTGTATATTTTGGGATGCTGGTGACATTTTTCTGTAGATGTGAGCTGCTAACCTGCGAGGTGCAAACTAAAATATGTGTTCAGGAGATTTGGACTGATGAATAAAAAGAGAAAATAAACAGTGAATGCGATACACAAAATGTTCTAAACTAGTCATTTATATAATTATCTAGTAATACATTGAGTGGCTCTGTGTTCTCTGTGCTCGGCTAATTTGTTTGATTTCTATGTGCATTTGACAAAGGTTTGTTGCCTTTTGTTTTCGTAGTCATATTCCTGGCCAATGAATGAAGGAGTTTTATTCATGCGTTTTCAGGCTTACACACACCTCCGTTTTTTGGCTCCTGGTTCGTTTAATTATGTGCAATGAGAAAACAACCTAACCAAATAGTAAAATATCAATTTCACTCTGATTCAGTCTCAGCAACCAAACCAGAGGTATTAGTTAATGCAGGTATCTAACAAACTATAGCTAGAGTAAGCCTTTTTCCCTGCTGCAGGAATGGTTGAAGGTTGAAATAGAAATGTTTGCTTGCTTTTCCTATAGTGATGGCTATAATGATTCCTTGAACCAATCCTCTGGTCTAATATTTGTTCGGCTCCCCACTTACAACTTTAGTTCCTACCTGCCATTAGTTCCCATTTACTGTTTGACTTGCAAAAAATAGAATGAAAACTTCGTACCACAGTTTCATTTGATCTGATCTTGTCACATGTACAGGATCAGATACGATACTATACTAGGTACTATATGGAAGAATTTTTCGAAGAAAAATAAGGCCTGGAAGGAAGTATCAAAGATTGTCATACTGATTAGTGTTAGCTTTGAAAGCTATATATCATTTTAGTGCTAGTTTGACCATAGGGTTACACACTTGAACAGATGACTCAAATAAATCCGGTATTTAACCCTTTTAAAATATTCAATTATTTGAATGATCCATCCATTAAATGGATTTCCCATAGTCTTTTCCTTTTAGACTGTATTTACCTGGCCTAACTTTAATTCTCCTATTGTGTCAGGCCCTAAAGTGTACTAATAATACTCCATTTTTTAAACCCATGCACCCTCAAGGACAATTTTGTTCACAGGTTCACACTTTGTTGACGTCACTAAAGCGCACACTTAGAGGAAATGAGCATGACTACTGTATGCACATGCAACTACTAATCTTTTTTTTTTTTGCCTTTCAGCTTCTGAGCTGTTATAAACACATATTTTCAGTCAAATTACTGACATGACAATTCACAGCAACTAAACCTTTTACACAAAAGCGTTCAGAAAAGTTTCTTTATTTAATTCAAACAGGAACTAAAAACTCAAAATAAGTTCACTGAAACACGTTTTGCAGCATTGTGTTGCTCCAGGTAACTTTTCAATATGAAAAGGTCACACGAAGCAGCACAAGGACTGTCATATCACGTTCTACTGTTACGGCTTCTTGTAGTCCCACAGACGTTCACTTGAGACTTTTTCATTTGCCCTTCTTGAATTTGCCTGGTGTTGCACTTGTCTTCTGTTTCTTCTTGGCTGATCCTTTTGCTTCAGGCTCCTGTAGTTACATGAAATGGAAATCAGAACTATTTGGAACCAGTACAAAGCTGGTGGCAGCGCAGTAAGGAAAGAATTCATTTTGTGGAGCAGCTGTGGCTGTAAACCTTAAATATTCCTCATCCAGCGCAGCCTTAATAAACAGAATCTACAAACATTCTGGCAAACCTAAAGTAAACACCATACTCCGCTGTCAGAAGTACACACCTTGCGTTTAGAAGAGATGGATCCTGTGACAGTAAAGAATGTGTCCAGTCTCCCTTGAGTGCTCCCCTGTCTGCTCTTCATTATTTTCTTACAGCCATTACGGATACGCTCCTCACTGGCAATGAACATAAAAATAATAACTGTTAAATAGTGTACATGGGCACTAGACCTAATAACTGGGTTCTTTTCAGTATCGTTACACTGTCATATACAGACAGTTACCTTGTCTCTTGTCTGAAATGTTTCCTTAAAATATAAACATTTACTTGTAAAAAACTGCATTTAGACTACAGTTTTGTTAAGTATGATACGGACACTAGCTAGATTCTAAAATCAGAAGACTCAACATGTGACTGTTTCTTATCAATCTGAATCCTTCAGAAATCAGTATTTTAAGATCATGGAGAGGTGTGTAGTGTGAAGTGTCCCATGTTTACCTGAACTGTTTCTCACTGCACATAAACTGGACCAGTCCCTCCTCATCAGGCTCATTCCACTTGAGCTCCACAGTGGAACAGTCCACCACCTCAGGCTCCAGAAACAGAGCTCGAGCTTCCTTATAGAGCCAGTCTTCTGGGGCAGGGTGTTTCTGTCGGAACAGCCACACACATACCTCATGATTCAATCAAATACACTGCATGTATGTAAGATTAAAGGGAGACGTATTTATCTTAGCAACCCTAACCCTGGTCAGAATTTTACTGAATCCAAAAATTGCCACTTGTTGGTAAATCAGTTTACAGGCACCATGTCATGGTGACTAGGTGTTTAAATAGTTCATGGAGACCTTTAACCAATTCTCATTTATAAAAAGAAAGGCATGCATCAAGGCTCTACTCTGTACTGGCAGATGGTGGAATGAACTTTCCTCTTCACTAAACAATTAAATGTGCACTAATTATTTTATTTATTTTAAAAAAAAAAACCTTCATCTTGTACTGTTTTTTCTTGCTCTACCTGATATTTTCTCTCACAAGGTTTTAAGCCTGATAGTATTCTTAGACCCTGACCTACTTGTACAAGCATGAGGACATGTTTTTGATGGAGACTTCAAAGCACTTCTGTAAGTGGCTCTGGATAAGGGCCTCTGCTAAAGGCTGTAAATGTAACTGATAGACACTATCTAAAATGCCCAAAACATATTCACCTTCATCTAGGCTGTTTGGCACAAATAGCATTCGTTGTCAACATGTTTTCATTATAAACTATGGTATCACTTAAGCGCTACAGTCTTTATTTCGAACATAAGATACAGCTTAACTGTTTGTGCATGTATGTGAACTCACAGATTGGTCAATGTTGTCAAGGATTTCTTCAATTGAACCATGTTGTTTGATGAGGTCAATTGCTCTCTTAGGTCCAATTCCTTTGATTGTGCCGCAGTAGTCACAGCCCAGTAGGATACATAAATCGATGAACTGTTGATGTGACAAGCTCATCTCCTGCAGAATGCGGTTGAAATGAAATTCCTGGATTGGAAGTTTCCTGCAAGTGAGGGCAGGAAAATAGGGTCACTAGGGCAAAAATGTAGCCATTAATACGTCTGCTGTAAAATATGAAGAAGAAGCCTTTTTGTTACATATACTTTACAGGACAGTGAAATTTTTTTCTTCGCATATCCCAGCTTGTTAGGAAGTTGGGGTCAGAGTGCAGGGTCAGCCCTGATACGGCACCCCTGGAGCAGAGAAGGTTAAGGGCCTTACTCAAGAGCCCGACAGTAGCAGCTTGGCAGTGCTGGGGCTTGAACCACCCTGACCCTCTGAGTTGTAAGACAGAGCCTTAACCGTTGAGCCACCACTGCCCCAGAGACTACACTGACTACTCATTTTGTACAGTGATGTATTTGAATACTGGGTAAATGTTTCTTCATGGGTGGGCTGTTTCAATGGTTTTATTTCCCTGTTGGCTGGCATGCATGCCTGGTTGATTGTAGTTGATTGTATAGTGATAATAGCTACTGCTAGGAAACCAACAGCAGTGTAACAATGCACTTTATTGTATTGTCCCGTATTGTATCATTTGATACAAGGCTCTCGATTCGATACGTCTGCTATTCGTCATAAAATACTGTTTATATTATGTGAGGTCTAATAAACATTTAAATTTGTTCAAGCTATATTTTCAGAGAATGGAGTGTGGGCTTGATCAAAATACTGCTTATATTAAGTGTAAAATATTTAAATTTGATCAAGCCCACACTCAATTCTCTGAAAATATAGCTTATAAAAAGAGAGAGAGAGAAACAAACATTGCATGCGTTAAGACAGCATTTCCCGGCTGATTCATTCTGGATGATGTGATGATTGGGAAGTTCAGAGCTGCAGATGAGACTCTACCCGTTAGAGAACAACACAGGATTCAAAAACACTTTTGAGCTTCAGAAAGCTGCGTGACTTCAGACACACACCCCTTTAGAGTCACGCTATCAGGGTTACCAGCGTTGTTTTCTTTTTTTTTTTTAAATAGAAAATTGGGCTATTTTTCTATAATGCTAAGAGTCTGAATGGAAAACACTGTCATTATGAAGTTTCAGTGATGAATGTTATAACAAGATGAAAATGGAAAGCTAAGGCACATTCAGGCAATGCTAATTTTTGCTGTATCAAAAAAATATATCATATCCAGATCCCCCCATATCGTATCTTATTCAATTACACTCAGGGGTGGACTCAGAGTGGTGGGGGACCCCTGGACCTGAACCACTGTTGGGGCCCCACACCAACAACCAAAACATAATAAATATTAATAAAACAAATATAATATAATAAAATAAATAAAGAAAGAAATAAGACCAGAGATACAAACTGCAGCAATTTGGACAAAGTAACAAAAAGCAGGAAAGTACCCATATTAAGATTCTTCATATATTCTAGGGAAGGTGCACAATATTGTTTTGGAGCAATATAGTCAACAATTCAACACATACTGAAACATTTCTTTTGAACACGGCAGAAAAACCTCCCAGATGTTGTTGTAGACATAGTAGCCTCCATCCAAGGCTGGTCACTGAGCTATAAAGAGGGCTCTATTGATAGATTTCCCCACTGACCAGTGTCAGTTCACCTTCTGACCAATCGGATTTGAGCATTCAACTGCGCTGTGGCATAAATGCATTTAATATATTTATTATCATTATTCATAGTACAGTCTAAAGAGGCAGTGAAGCTGCTTTTTTAGACTGTACTATGAATAATGATAATAAATATATTAAATACATGTAATGTAGTTTCCTGTAACCTGTGTGTGACTGTTAATTGATGTGCATTGTGCATTTAACTGCACAAATAAAACAGCCTGAAAATAGCAATGCCCGGAATCAATTTTTGCTTTAACCATGGAAAAGATGACTAGTTCACTACTTTTATGAATGACTGGTTATTAAGGACTCTTTAAATAGGTTATGATGTAAATAGAATGATTTCTAATCTATAAATGTTTGCACTTTTTATAAATAATATAGTAAAATAGAAATAAATGATATTATTATTATTATTATTACAACTACTAACTACTACTACTAGCTTCTGAATAGCCTGTCTTTAGGCTAAAAATAAAGACTAAAGATCTACATAGTTTTTATGGTCATATTTCTAATTTGTGTATCATATTTATTGCATATTAAATTCAATTCAAATCAGTTTGTTTGTGTTATTCACTGGAGATGGAATGGAATGTTTCAATGCAACTTTCTGCCTGTTCACTTTTGGGGGTAACCAGATTTTAAAATGCTAGAACTTTACAAGTGATATTGAGAAACACATGCAAAAGGGAAACACATTTTCAGGTCAGGCAAGTCTTTAGTTTGACAAAAGTCTTTAGTTTGTTTTCCTAGGCCACCACACACAAGGCATTTCCATCATTTCAGGTTTAAGAAGAGTACGGGGAGGGTGTAATAATATTACCAGCTGTGTAGGCGGGAACTTCGGGAACTTAGAGGCAATTGCAAAACTGTACAGTTTTCGATATAATCCTTTTACAGTTCACTTGTCCACATGGCTGACATTTTACATGGTTGATCTGTTGCTTAGTGTTTGAATGCGGCACAAAAGAGCAAGTAAAAAAAAAAAAAATGCAAGAAAATTTTTAATTTCTAATTTGCATTAACATGCTTTCTAAAGCATTACAGCTGACACTTTGCTGTAGGCCTATTTAAACTTTTTTTCCTAGTCAATCTTTTCTTTTTTTCAGCTCAAAACCATAAGTGCTGTTTTTAACCATTTTTCCCCAAAGTTTCGGTGATATCGTTTATAAATATAGTTAATGGATTGATGTTATGTATATTCTTGTCTAGCTAAGTCAAAGCAGTCCAAAGATAGTCCATTTACCTTGGTACAACGTGAGAGCACAGTGTGAGTCGAGTTAAGAGCATGTGAGATGGTGGAAGGGGGCAAGGATTCAAATATCGGAGAGTTCAAAGCACCTGCGAAAAATCAGCCAAGATTCATACATCGATTGAATCATCTTAAGTTTTTTTAGGGGAAAAGAAGACTGCTATTTTGGCCTATTTTTGAGTGATAACGCTGATGTTAGATTGTGGAAGTCTTACGCGAAATGCATAAAGGCTGGCGTATATAGTAATATAATATAATAGGAGTAAATGTCTCTGGACATTATGGCAGTGTAAGGTTGTGTAGGAACAATTAAACTGGTATATTGCACAAGCCTACACAACACTGCTGCTCTTCGCCTCAGAATACTAGCAGACACAACTTTTTTCAAATTTTTCCCTCATTCACTTCATGTGAACGCAAGGTGTGATGAATAGCCGAGTAGTGATTTTGCTATTCGAATACTGATGCTTCAGGCGGTTAACTGGGTATTCGTACACATCCCTAGTGGGTGAGAATTGATTTTAGGTGAAAAGTATGTATTTTGTTCTTTAAACTGATAGACCTACACACACACACACACACACACACACACACACATGCGCACACACACACACACACACACACACACACACACGCGCACACACGCGCACACACACACACACACACACACAGACAGTGAGCACTTGCTGTGAGCAGTCCTAAAGTGCTCAACTCACTGTACTGGAACCTTACTGGATTTCAGCTTTTTGAGAGATCTTAGTTTTACATAAATAACATAAACAATGTAGAATAGGTCTTAAAAACCAGGAAATATTGGTCCAAATTTGAGCGACATTTAACTTCAAAAGACATCTCAGAACACAAAGAAGTTTAACATTTCAAAATTTCAAAATAAAAAAATGTACAGTGATGCCTTAAACAGTACATCTTATACAGCAAATGTGCCAAAGCCTTCGTTTCTAGAAATGATGTTGCATGAAATAACACAGAACCATTAACCCTAATACAGCTTGGGAAACATACTTAGCTTCACTAGCAGTTAAGTGTCTCAGCAGGACGCTTGTTCCAAACGTTAATCCATCCATATCTTCAGTTGCTGTGGCATACACTTTTCCTGCCTTTACCAGAGCTGCACAGCTGGCCTCGGCCTCACATGGAGCCTGGACAAGAATTTTATCAGTGTTTTGAAATTCATATCTGCTGAACTATGATGTACTCGTTTTTGTAACTGAAGAATTATATAATGACATAACTGAGTTTAAGATTAACTAGGGAAAAAAAAACAATACCTCTATATAAGGCACTCCCATTAACGTGAGGAGTTTTTTACACTCATCATTATGCTGCCTCGTGACTTTTACGAGACGTTTGCTGAACTTGTCGATGTTCTCCTGTTCACCTATGGTCCAAAACAATGAAAGGTCATGGCCATTAAACAAAGCTTTTTACACAAGATTTTAACATTAGCGGATGTTCTGTTATACCCATTTCCTGTGCTTGTGCCAGCAGCTTTTCTGCTTCTGCTCTCTTCTCCCCTCTCTTCTCCAACTGCAAAACAAAAACAAAAGTTCAGTGAGAAAGGCACAGCCTCAAAACGTTACAGTTTCTAATATCTAGTGGCATTAGGAATGCAAAATATTCTTACTTCAAAAAACATTTCAAATTAGTCACTATATTTTGGACAAATATGCTGCACTGTCACTTTCAGCTCACCAAAATTACTCCATAGGCTGATCAGCCATAATATTAAAACCACCTGCCTAATGTTGTGTAGGTCCCCCTTGTGCCGCCAAGACCTCTGAAGGTGTGCTGTGGTGTCTGGCACCAAGACGTTAGCAGCAGATCCTTTAAGTCCTGTAAGCTGCGAGGTGGGGCCTCTATGGATTGGACTTGTTTGTCCAGCACATCCCACAGATGCTCAATCGGATTGAGATCCGGGCAATTTGGAGGCCAAGTCAACAAGCTGAACTTTTTGTCATGTTCCTCAAACCATTCCTGAACAATTTTTGCAGTGTGGCAGGCGCATTATCCTGCTGAAAGAGGCCACTGCCATTAGGGAATACTGCTGCCATGAAGGGGTGTACTTGGTCTGCAACCATGTTTAGTTAGGTGGTACATGTCAAAGTAATACACATGAATGCCAGGACCCAAGGTTTCCCAACAGAACATTGCCCAGAGCATCACACTGCCTCCGCCCACAGTGCATCCTGGTGCCAGGTCTTCTCCAGGTAAGCTTCGCACATGCACCCAGCCATCCACATGATGTAAAAGAAAACGTGTTTTATCAGACCAGGCCATCTTCTTCCACTGCTCCATTTCTGATGCTCACATGCCCATTGTAGGCGCTTTTGGCAGTGGACAGGGGTCAGCATGGGCGTTCTGACTGGTCTGCAGCTACACAACCCCATACACAGCACGCTGCATTGCACTGTGTGTTCTGCCACCTTTCCATCATAGCCAGAATTAGCTTT